GTGAGAGTGATGATCTGGGGGGAGAAAAGGGATACAGGATTTGAGAAACTAAATGCAGTAAGGTACTACCCTCTACCACAGTGGCAGATATTATTGGCGTATTTCCACATGTGCCCAGTGACGGATTTAGGGGGTGGGGGGTTAGGGAGGTCCTGCCCACCCCCCCCCCTTCGGTTTCTGAAAAATATATCACACCAATATTCCCCTCTTGAAATTAGAATTTTGACTAGTTGAATCATGGTTCTAGACCGTACCATAGGGCACCGTTAACCCTCCAAAACCAAAATCTTTTCTGGACCCTTTAGCAGGCCCCGAACCCCAAATTATTTACAAAAACCACTTCTTTTTCAAATAAATTCCTCCAATTGAATATCAGTTATTTATGTTTTCAATAACATAATAATAATAATAATAATAATAATAATAATAATAATAATAATAATAATAATAATAATGAACATGACGATAAACGATAAATGTATATTCCAAGTATATCACTATGTTGGATTTTGGAAGGCTGTAACACAAAGAGTACCTAGCCAAACCCCCCCCCCCCCCCCCCCCCCCCCCGGAAGGAAAAGAATTATTTGCACCTTAACCCCCGCACATTCACACTTACTTTCTATCTATAGTATCCATGCACTACGTGTTAATGAATGACTCACATCTTGGACGATACTGTTTAAAGATCTCGTTACATACATTCAATATACAAGTACTGGGTATGTGCATTGCTTTAAATTGTCGATATGTATATATAACGTCGTCGCAAGGTGTAACGTTGAGTTGTAATCTTTATTATTCGTCATTCTGTACCTAGTACCTATCTATTACCTAGTACCTTTCTATCTATAGTATCCATGCACTACGTGTTAATGAATGACTCACATCTTGGACGATACTGTTTAAAGATCTCGTTACATACATTCAATATACAAGTACTGGGTATGTGCATTGCTTTAAATTGTCGATATGTATATATAACGTCGTCGCAAGGTGTAACGTTGAGTTGTAATCTTTATTATTCGTCATTCTGAAATACCGACACGCAGGACACGCCCCTAGGAGAGATTTTAAAGGAGAATATTACACGGGCTAGATTGACGTCCAACTTCTAAAGGCACCTACACTGGTACAGAGCAAACATCACTGCGCAATGGTACCGACAAACTCGTCCATTGATGATAATACAACAGAAGGCATGGGTAAACTGTGGGATCAGCCAGGGTTTTACGACGACGTCAAATGGGCCAACATCACGGTGACTTTGTTGACCACCGCCTTGGCAATCTTTGGAGTGTTCGGTAACATTTGCGTTCTTATTATCACAAGAAGAACACCGGCTCTTAGAACATGGTGGAATTCATTCCACATTAATTTAGCACTGGTCGACCTGTTCGTGTCGATCTTTGTGTGTCCGGTATTAGTCATGATTATTTGGCCATGGAGTGAATCGACAGTTTTTATTAAATGTTTCTTAAGACGTGTTGCAGCAACAGGGCCATTTATGAACGTTGTCATTTTGGCGAGTATCAGTGTCCTTCGGGCAGCAAAATTCCACAAACCTAGATTGACCGTTCACAAGCATATTTTCAAAATATGTTTGACTGTGCAATGGATTCTTGGCATCATATTTTTTGTATTAATTTCCGTGTCTGACGATACAAATTTTATTCTTATGCAATGTCACAGGGTTCAAGGACAATCGCATGGGTTTTTATTCACATTTACTTTTACAATAATGCTAACCTGCATCGTAGTGATAACTTCATCTTACTTATCAGTGGTTAGGAAAATTATAAGGCAACGCAAGTTGATAAAACCCTACTACGCGGGCCATAATATACAAACAATATCCGCAAATGTCGATATGTTTTTAGCGGTACATGTAGATAACGAACACACGGAAGAATCACTTTCACCGACCTTTACTCCCTTAGAGCAAAACTCACGACGGGATCAAGGTAATCGCCGTGCTCATAGTCTACCTGGATCTACCGGAACCGCACATTCCACAATAACGGTGCACATCACTCCAGACGGAGGCGACGGTGATTTACCAGAAGAGCCGCCTGTTTCCACCTCGCAGCAAATGGATGTTTCGCAATTCCTCCAAACTGAAAATTGCGCTAATGTTCAAGTTCGCTGGACAAGAGAAAGCGATAACGCCGCAGACGCCATAGATATAATAACTCAAGAATCGGCCGACGCTACGGAGGTTCGCTCAGGTTCGGACATGCACTACGTAAAAGTCATACAGAAAGACTGCCACGTTATTTTGTCTAGTGTCATTTTAATAGCCATATTTCTCATTAGTATTTTGCCCTTTGTAGTCATTTCTATGGTGTTGAAATCACGGTTGCCCAATCTGAGTAAAGACGATTATATTGCCAATCTAATTGCATGCTCATTTGCATTTATTAATGCATGTGCTAATCCTTACATATATACACTGAGGTCCTATGTGTTTAGGAAGCGACTCATGTTCTTAGTTTATGACATTGCTAATTGCTGTAGAGCTGGTGTTAGACAAACCTAGAAAACAAATTCATTCAGATTAATTATATTTTTCATTCCCACCCAGTGGACTGCAGATAATGGAACAGCAGCATGCACTTAATGCTTAATTGTGCTATCATTTACTGGGAGCAAGCAAAATGTAGTTCAAATTGTGCAGTAGAAAAGAATAAAAAAAGTAATTCGTTCCATTTCGGACAATGTTCTTTTCTTGTGTCTGCATTTGACCATTTTGTCCTTTCAGTCTGTCATTTCTTGTATAATATAAATATTGTGTGCGCTGCTCGCAATCGACTTTAATATACATGGAAAGCAGTGATGTCAAATTATTCGATCTTCTTGACATGTTCTTTTAAGAATTAAAATTCTTTTTGTAAAACAGAACATTTTAAGCTCACTTCAGCCGTTTCAAGCAAGATTATCAGCAAAATTCCAAAATCGACCAAATAAAATAAATAAATAAATAAATACATACATCCTTTTTGCACACCCTGCTTCTTACGGATCTTTTTTTTTTTTTTTTTCACCAAAATTCACATCTTTGATCAATTTGCTTTCGGCAAAAAGTGAGAAGAATGGAAGTCCGCTAGGAACCGTAGTTCGTTCGGATCCATTACTTTGTACAGGTGACATGCTTATCATATGGGAGCTCGGGCTTCATTCCTAGGACACATTTCCTGTCACACCGACGTTATTAACACAGAGTTCATGTTGTGAAGGATGTTTATCAAATCCACCATAATAAGTAATTCCACAGCTGACTAAACTCTTCACTACCAGTATGTGTAGCAATAGTGTATTTCTAACGTTGAAAACCCAAGTTCAAAATTAATAAAATTACTAATTGACTCTTTTGAATTTCCTTTTTTTTTTTTTTTTTGTTATTCTTATATATATTATAGCAAAATATTAATAAAATCATTTTGAAAGTCAAACTAGGCATTAAGAGAAACGACATTTTAAATTGTAAAGCAAAGGGCGTTTTTTTTATCAATTTACAATTCTTTATTTATCTATTTTATTATATTTCTAGCGGGGTGGCACATTTGCCGCTAAGACGTGCGAGGATATCTCTCTCTCTCTCTGGTAGTTGTTAACGTTGCCCTACATGGAGCTAATTCAGGGTAAACTGCAGGCTTCATCATTACAACGCACTCGTTCAGCTGTGTACAAATTCCAGATAAAGATAAAGTATATCAACCGTAAAGTAGACATCACAAAGAGTGATTCAAAAAGGGACATTTTCATATCGACAACATTCTCGCTTGGAGCTTTCCCAAGAAATTTGGCAATCTTCCGAACTGCCCCAGCATGGTCCTTAACAATGACCTCGTAGTGGAAACAAAACGTCTTCCCGCCTAAACTGAGGCACGTGGTCAAACCATGATCCACGGGAAACTTTTTCCCGCCATGAACATCTCGTAGAACTCAGACCACGTGCCTGGAAAACGACCAAGATTAGCATTCATACGGTAGAAATGGTAGAAAGAGACGGCGATATCCTTAGGATTTCTCAACACGTGTATCATCTTTGAATGCTTCTCTCGCATTTGCTCAGGTAGCTGGTGCGCAGACACGTGTTTTGAAAACACGTGGTCGCGGGACTTCGCCCAACTATCGTATTCTTGCGTTATCAACTTTGCCGTGCTCCAACCATGGTGTACGCAGGAGGCTGTCCGTCTCTTTGTTTTCACCGTAGCTGTCAAGGTGTAATATAAGGTAAACGATTTCGAAGGTCCATGTTCACATATTAGTATGGGGGAGATTTAGTGAAATAGACCGACGCCAACAGGTGTCTTTTAAAATAATCACTCCGAGGAAATGGTAAGCTGACGAAGGATTCATCAAACTGGCAAGAATACATTCAGGTGTACTTGAAAACAGATTTTGACAAACTGATTAAAAAAGTCGAACATAAACGGGTGTGTTGTTTCTGTCTTGTGAAGGGATATTCGTCAGTTTAAAAGTACCAGTAAACTAAGATACATATTACGTACTTAATCGTATGTTTAGGTGTGTAGGAAACAAAATATAGAGTAGGATATATGACCATTCAGCACTCATCCCGTACTTACATTGCATGTGTCGTTTGCTTGTTTGTTGTTGTTGTTTTTTTTTTTTTTTTTCGCTTTTTTAATACCCCTGCAACGTATTTTTGTATAAATGGTTTTATTTAATCTTGTTTGTTAACTAGGCAAAAGACATTGCACTTACTGTGAACGTCCCGCAATATCCATAATTATATAATATATGCACTTATGGCAGATATACGTGTGATATTACGTGCAAAGATGGATTAGATTCAGATTTAAATTACGTATTAACAGCAGAATAACAGTGACAATGTCCATTTTGCGCAATGCAATATCCTCTGTTTTTCAAACCATCTTCTATTCTAATCTGGTTTATCTGTGAAAATGTCGTAATGTAAGTCTGGAATTGCTTAGTTTGTACTTATTAGCTAGTGTCTCACTTGGCCGTCAATCGACAATGAATATAAAACCCCAAGCGTTCGACCAACCAGGGTCTTAAGTTTGCAACAGCAAAGGGACTCTGCAGAACCGAACGCCACCATGACTGTAGCGCTGACAATTCTACTGAGTCTTGGGGTTGGAACCATCGCTGTGTTTAGACGTAAGTGCGTTGTCTGGCATATGGGTACGAAGTAACTGAGATGTTAAAATGAATATTACATTAAAATGAATATTACAAAAATGAGCATATTTAAAAGAATGAAAAATCTCTTTAGTATCCATTGCTTTCGGCTTTTGAATTATACTAAACATTTGATGATGGGGGTTTCGAATTGAAAATTAGTTTCTGGACTCTTTGCATGAAAACGTTGGGTGATCTTACAGACATCTCCTTGATGATTCCAGGACGTGTGTTCTGATATCTCCGCGGACTACCCTTTCATTTGAACCGGTACCCCCCTTCCCCCCGTCGCGTATGCCTATCAACGGTGGCTTTAGTCCCGCCCCTGTACGCCCACCGGACAATAGGCCTCCAGGCGTTTCGATTACATACCATGTACTTCCATGATATATCCTACAATGCATTACATACCCAATTATTTACACTTTTACAATTAATTTTCCAGCGGATTGTCGGATGACAAAACTTCCTGGGTTATTTTTGAATGGCGATTCATATGATCTTTTTTTGAATGGGAATGAGCGCAAGTGCAGGATGGAATGCGAAAAGGACGCCAGATGCCGCGCCATGACCTACCATGCAATTTGGACGGCATGCTGGCTATATTCTGATGTGAAGGACACAGGTCACAGTCACATGGGCAGCTTTGTCTCTTATCAGAGGCCACAAGATTGTGAAGGCAAGGCTTCTCAGAATTGATCTATTTATTCAAATCTACTAATCTATTTTAAATAAGAACTTTAAAGATAAGTTTTTTTTAAATTATTTTTTAAATTTTGGTTAAAGAAAATGGAATAAACGTGTTTGCGCTTGTCTTCCGTTTAAACCTCTTGGCATTATGTAAAGCAACTGAATGATTTTCTGAAAAGTCTTCGGGATGTATTGGTTGAAATATTAGACTGATGCAAGGTCATGGTATTGCAACTTTATCGGAAACTCGATTCAGGAAAATATCATTGTATAGTGGAAAGAGGTGAGTAATCCAATTGATGCCTTTTTTTTGAATTGGTAATTCGCTCTCCGGTGTGATACTGAAGTTGCAATCCAAAACCCAGAGTGAGATTGTTAATATATTTTAGTTAAAAAAAGTAAGTTTGTGTTCACAGGTCCTGGTACAGTCCTTTACGGAAAAAACGTATTGCACAGTGAAGCACTGAAGAACAAACTACAGGAGATTGCGAATTACATGGGGGCCTATGTCTTTGTACATAGCGGGCTACGCGAAGGAAAAGATAAGTATGTAAGTAAGAGTTGTCTAACAAAGCTGACTTAAGCATTCTGAGAAAGGCGATGGAAACATTATTATGCAATGTGTGGGAAATCCTCCAAGTAGGTTTCCAGTTCTGTTTATGTTTGCAAGTAATTTTAGCCTCTCAAATAATTGTTTCAGTTGTCCAAATTCCCATTGTGATTGAATTTTAAGAGGGATTATAAGGAAGGATAAAAGAAACTGTAGGAAAAAAGAAAAAAAAATGATCCAAAAAGATTTTTTTTAATTCGAGCAAGGTGCCACAGGCCAGGTATAAACGTACACCCCTTGTTACACATTCTAGGCTATAACAGGTACGTTATTGTTTTATTCTTTTAGAATATTGACAATGTCATTTTTTTTTACTCCCAGCACGCCATTGGCCAAGCCGCTGACATTACAATAAGCGACGTCAATTCGAGAACCGCGTGGGAACGTCTCAAAAGCAGTGATATCTTCACTGGAGACTATTACGTCGTGTATCACGCCCCAGGGCGGAGGTCTTGCTCTACGGGCACACATTTACACATTGCCCGTTATGAAAAGGAAGGGAGCACGGGCAGACCCACGTGCTGGGTTCTCGAGGGCACGACCTCTGCTAACACCTGCCTAACGTTAAATCATATAAAGTGTTTGTAAGCACCATGTAGCGATGAAACCACTCGTACATTTTATAAATGCAATGATATTTTTCGGAATGAGCCATGTATCTCATTTGTATAGAAATTCAACGCTACAAATAAAGCATTGCACACGCGTCATAGTCTGTCTTCTTACATTGGCTTTTGGAGAAGTTTGGGTTGTGTATTTAATCTAATGACCTGGGGCTTGAAGAGTCGCAGCCTTATTTCTAGCAGGAAATCCGATGCATTTGCTTATCTGGATAAACTTGATATATTTGACCATATATTCACTTTGCTATTGACAAAAATAACTTTCAGGTCTAGACCAAGTGATCGGCTTGTATATTTTTTGAATAACGGGTAGTCCTAACTTGACTTAGCAAAGACACAATTATAGAGAGAAATAAAACTTGAACCTATATTAAGTGCTACTCTTGCTTCCTATAAAATACATGTACCAGTAAAGCTTTTCGTCAAAAACAAAACACAAGTTGGTCAAATATGCAATCAAACGTTATATGTATATATATTATATCAATTTGTTATATAATATATATATATATAAGTTAAGGACGTCCGTAAGTTCACATGTACTCTCATTTGCTTTCTGTGTTAATCGCCAAAGTCAATGTTTAGACCGCTTTCTGCCATTTTTTTCTTGGCAGATTTAATCAAATTCGTCGTTTTGCTGTGCGGTGAAGTAATATTTCCAGTTGCTAACTTTCCCTTTGCGATAGAAGTGGGAAACGGTGTAGTCAAACACCTCAAGTTTGGAAAAATTGGTGCCTGGATTTTGCTTCATACTTCCGAAATAAAACGTTTGATTATTTCCTTGACTGCATCGTCATTGAAAGATTTCTGAAGAAAATTGGCAATCTTCCAAAATGCCCCAGCATGACCCTTAACCATGTCTTTGTGGTGGAGAATCAAAACGTCTTTGTTATCTTTAAATTCCCGCCCAAACTGAAGCACATTATCAAACCATCCTTATCAAATATGTTTTTCATTGCATTAACAAAAAATAAGTAATATGTGTATACCAAAGCCCGTTTCAGCAAAATGGGTAAAACATTTTTTTCTCCCAGAACATATCTTCGGAAGAACCTGCTAGAAGAGAAGACACATGTTGTGGGAATTATATACCAATATCATATTCACCATAAATCATTGACATAAAGAGCTAGTGCATCATCTTTATGACCTTTATTGCAAATGACCCACCGTAATAGCTAAAAATAGGTACTTTTTGAACACATAATTGGCTATATTTTCGTAAATTGTACTCCGATTATAATAATTCTTTTTTTAGTTTGCTCCTATGGACAGTGTCTTTGATATTAGTCTATCAGCAATCTCCAATCATAAATTGTTAATTTATCAAACACTTGTAACATAAACCACATTTAATTGTTCACCCTGATTGTGAAACAGCCGTTAATCATCTGTGTGGGAAACAAAATTTAGGGAGGGATAACCATTCAGCACTCATCCAGTACTTACACCGCATTTGTCGTTTGTTACCTCCGCCAAGGAGGTTATGTTTTCACCCTGTTTGTCATTTTGTTTGTTTGTCATCAACATAACTCAAAAAGTTATGGGACGATTTTGATGAAATAATCAATCAGTAATCAATAATAATCGAAAATCGCTGCCTTGGCGGAGGTCTACGCTCTCGGAGTGCTTTTCTAGTTTGTTCTTTTTTGTTCTTTTTTTAACACCCCTGCAACGTATTTTTTGTATAAATGGTTTTATTTAGTCTTCTTTGTTAACTAGGTAAAAGGCATTGTACTAACTGTGAAGGTCCCGCAATATCCAAAATTATATAATATATGCACTTATGGCAGATGTATGTGTGCTATTACGTGCAAAAATGGATTAGATTCAGATATAAATTACGTATTAACAGCAGAATAACAGTGACAATGTCCATTTTGCGGAATGCAATATCCTTTGTTTTTCAAACCATCTTCAATTTTAATCTGGTTTATCTGTGAAAATGTCGTAATGTAAGTCTGGAATTGCTTAGTTTGTACTTATTAGCCAGTGCCTGACTTGTTTATTAATCAAAAATGAATATAAAACCCCAGGCGTTCGACCAACCAGCGTCTTTAGTTTGCAACAGCAAGGAGACACTGTAGAACCGAACGCCACCATGATTTTAGCGCTGACAATTCTACTGATTCTTGGGCTTGGAACCATCTCTGTGTATGGGCGTAAGTGCGTTGTCTGGTAAATAGATACAAAGTAACTCAGATGTTAATGAATGTTACAAAAATGAGCATATTTAAAAGAATGAAAACTCTCTTTAATATGCATTGCTTTCGGCTTTTGAAACATTTGATGGTGGGTCTCGAACTGGAAAATAGTTTCTGGGCTCTTTGCATGAGACCGTTAGTTGATCTTACAGACAGCTCCTTAAGGATTTTAGGACGTGTTTTCTGATACATGTATGTCAACGGACCACCCTTTTGATTTGCACAGGAATGCCCCCCTCCCCCGTCGCTCAGGCGTAGCTCTTGTCCCACCCCTTAACGCACATCGGACAATAGGCCTCCAGGCGTTTCGATTCCATACCATGTACTTCCATGATATGTCTGACATGTATTACACACCCAGTTATTTACACTTTTACAATTACACTTTGTCTATTTTCCAGAGGATTGTCGGCTCACAAAACATCCTGCGTTATTTTTGAATGGCGATTCATATGATCTTTCGTTGAATGGGAGTGAGCGCAAGTGCAGGATGGAATGCGAAAAGGACGCCAGATGCCGCGCCATGACCTACCATGCAATTTGGACGGCATGCTGGCTATATTCTGATGTCAAGGACACAGGTCACAGTCACATGTGCAGCTCTGTCTCTTATCAGAGACCAAAAGATTGTAAAGGTAAGGTTCTCAGAATTAATCGGTAGAAAATTATTTTAAATAAGAACTGTGAAGATATATATTTTTTAATTTTTGGTTTAAATTTTGGTTATAAAAAAACGGAATAAACGTGTTGCGCTTTAGGTCTTTCGTTTAAACCTCTTGGCATTATGTAAAGCAATTGAGTGATTTTCTGAAAAATCTTCGGGATTTATTGGTTAAAATATTAGACTGATGCAAGGTCATGGTATTGCATCTTTATCACAAGGTCGAATAAAAAAATGTCATTATATAATGGAAAGAGGTGAGTTATCGCATTGATGCCTTTTTTGAATTGATAATTCACTCTCCGGTGAGATACTGAATTTGCAATCCAAAACCCAGAGTAAAATTGTTACCATATTTCAGTTTTAAAAAAGTTTGTATTCACAGGTCCAGGTAAAGTCATTTACGGAACAAACGTATTGCACAGTGAAGCACTGGCGAACAAACTTCAGGAGATTGCGAATTACATGGGGGCCGATGTCAGGGTAAATAGCGGCTTACGCAAAGGAACAGATAAGTATGTAAGTAAGAGTTGTCTAACAAAGCTGACTTAATCATTTTGAGAAAGGCGATGAAAACATTATTATGAAATGAAAGGTAAATGCTCCAAGTAGGTTTCCCGTTCTGTTTATGTTTGCAAGTAATTTTTCAGCCTCTCAAATAATTGTTTCAGTTGTTCAAATTCCCATTGTGATTGAATTTAAGGAGGGATTATAAGGCAGGATAAAAAAAAAACCCGTAGTAAAAAAATGATCCAAAAATAATTTTTTAATTCGATCAAGGTACCACAGTCCAGGTATAAACGTACACCCCTTGTTACAATTTCTAGGCTATAACAGGTAAATAATTGTTGTATTATTTTAGAAAATTGACAATGTCATTTTTTTACGCCCAGCACGCCATTGGCCAAGCCGCTGACATTACAATAAGCGACGTCAATTCGAGAACCGCGTGGGAACGTCTCAAAAGCAGTGACGTCTTCACTGGGGACTATTACGTCATGTATCACGCCCCAGGGCGGAGGTCTTGCTCTACGGGCGTACACTTACACATTGCCCGTTATGAAAAGGAAGGGAGCACGGGCAGACCCACGTGCTGGGTTCTTGAGGGCACGACCCATGCCAACACCTGTCTAAAATACGAGTACATGAAGTGTTTGTAGGCACCAGCGAAGAAACCACTCGTATAATTTTGCGTGAGAGCAATGATATTTTCGGAATGAACCATTTATCTTATTTTGGTAGAAATTCAACGCTACAAATAAAGCATTGCAAGCGCGTCATTGTCTGTCCTCTTACTTTGGCTTCTGGGGAAGTTAAAGTTGTGCATTTAATCTGATGGCCTGTGGCTAGAAGAGTCGTAGCCTTAATTTCACCCAGGAAACCCGGTAAATTTGCTGATTTGGGTAAATGTGACATATGTTGTCACATATTCATATTGCTATTGACAAAGATCGGCACGTATATATTTGAATAACGTGTAGTCCTAACTTGAGTCAGTAAACGATACAATTATAGACTGAAATCAAACTTGGTCCCGCATTAAGTGTTACTCTCGCTTGCTGACAGTACATGTACCAGTAATGCTTTTCGTCAAACTCAAAACAGAAGATGCCCATGAGACCCAAACATATGCAATAAAGGGTCAATATCTATATGTTTGTTCAGGAGGTCCGTAAATTTACATGTACTCATTTCCTTTATGAGAGCTCTTATTCTATATCAAATTTCACAACTTCTTGTTACTCGCCAAAGTCGACGTTTAAACCGCTGTCTGCCATTTTCGCTCGGTAAACTTCATCAAATTCGTCGTTTTGCTGTACGGTGAAGTAATTTTTCCAGTCGCCCACTTTCCCTTTGCGATAAAAGTGGGATACTGAGTAGTCAAAACCCTCATATTTTGAAAAATTGGTGGCTGGATTTTGTTTCATACTTCCAAAAGAAGTACGTCTGACTATTTCCTCAGCTACATTCTCATTTAAAGATTTCCCAAGAAAGTTGGCAATCTTACGAACTGCCCCAGCATGATCTTTAACCATATCTTCGTAGTGGAGAAACAAAACGTCTTTGTTATCTTTATATTCCCGCCAAAACTGAAGCACGTGATCGAACCATGATCCATGGGATACATTTCCCGCCATAAACATCTCGTAGAACTGAGACCACGTGCCCGGAAATCGGCCAAGGCTTGCATCCATACGGTAGAAATGGTAGTAGGAGACGGCGACATCCTTAGGGTTTCTTAACACGTGTATCATCTTTGAGTGCTTCTCTCGCATTTGCTCAGGTAGCTGGTGCGCAGCCACGTGTGTTTTGAAAACACGAGGTCGCGGGACTTCGCCCAACTCCCGTATTCTTGCGTTATCAATCTTGCCGAGTTCTAACCATGGTGTACGTAGGAGGCTGTCCGTCTCTTCGTTTTCAGAATAGTTGTCGTAGTGTAAGATGAGGTAAAGCAACTCCAGGGTCCATGTCTGACCTGTAGACACCCAAATGTCTATATATAAAATTTAATATCAGATAAACTGATAGCTTTGTGCACCAAAGGCGTGTTTAAAACAAATATTGTTACAGGTGCCCCTCCCCAACCTCCCGACGGACTTTGGACAGGCCATTGGTTAATTATGAATAGGCTCTTTTGTATGTTATGTTTTAATTTTTTCTATAGTAGCTAGGGAGTGAATTTTCAATAAAAGTGCATCTACAGGTATCAGTAATACATGGTGAAAATGTCAATTACAGCAGGTGCCATTCTCATGTATCAAATGTCTTCACTCCTATTATGTTGACATAGTCGTAATGGAAACCTTAATATTGTTCAGAAGTTTGTACCATGAATGCAAGAAAAGAGTGCAATTTTCAATGGCAATGCTTTGACAAATAGGTTATGCAGTTTCTCTTCACCCACCTGATTTGGGATATGCTGAAACCACGCAGTCATCCTCAAACATGTCGAACGTTTTCACCATTTCTATACTTTCTCGAGGCGAGTATCCACCCAGGAGTACACCATCCAGGTAGTGTTGGCCGGGAATTTTAAAGGTTTTCACGTCGAAATCGGACATTTTCTCAGTGAATTAAGCCTCAACTGTTTAGATGTTGATTAATATTTAACAGTGACGCCAGCTGGTGTTGTTTCTCACTTATAAGTTCCATTTAGTGACCCTGAGTTTTTCAGTGATAGGGCCACAAGTTGACCTGCTTTTCGTACCATGGGAGATATGAACCGCAGGAGTGTAAATATAACGTAGTTTATCTCCAGGTGCACGTATTATCCATGTCAAGTTTATTCGTAAAATATCCATGAACAGTGCGACATATATCTTAAGTACTCGTATCAGTCGCGTATGATCGATCGCTCGATTTTTCATGTACACACACAAACACACACACTTACATACGGTCGCACGCACACAATTTCTCGGTAACTCTGAAATCTATACTAGCTTCATATGTAACTTTCAGAGAATCCAGTACACAGATTGATTTGTTCACTGACGAACGATTCAAGAAACTGACAAGAAAAGGTTATATCTAAAGCAAAATATCACAGGAAATATGGGTGACATGCAAGTCCGTATTCAGATTTATCGAACTGATTTTTTTTAATTATGACAAAAAGGACATGGCCCGACTGGGCAGCGGACTCAGGACATTCGCGTTATTAATTGACTGAGCTATCCGGCATAATAATAAATAATAATAAATTTATTTTAAGTCTAAAATCCATTTAAAATGTTCAGTAGACTTTACATATAATATCATAAATAATACTACATAAAATATCATAAATAAAATCTAGGTAAAACAGCCATTATTCCATACAATTAAATGCAATTAATACAAGATTTATAAAGCCAATTAAGAGTTAATCAAAATATTTCCTAAAAAGGTATGTTTTGAGTTCTTTTTTAAAATGTTTGGTAAACTGAATTGCTCGGATTTTCAGCGGTAATAAATTCCATTCCTCATGACCTGCGCCTGCAGCTGTATTTGTTTCAGTCGGTCGCTCAAGCCCCCGCCCCCCGCCCCCAGCGGACTCAGGACATTCGCAGCTGTATTTGTTCCAGTCGGTCGCTCAAACCCCCCTCCCCCCAGTGAATTTCTTAGATGAAATGATAAAATTTCCAAGATGAATTTAAAGAAAATCGAAACCCACTCCCCTCCTCGAGAAAAGTTGGGATTGTTTATTTTTCAAATATTTTTAATTTTTCCTAAAGTTAAAATAATGATGACATTGGTCGTTAATGATGGGCAACATCCGAAATAGCATGACCTGAAGTGGAAATAGATTTTAAACGATAAGGACACTGTGTGCACTTTAAAGTATGACATCGGATATTCAGATAAAGCCATTGTACTGATAGCTAAATGAATGTAACTACTTGGGATTCTCGCTTAAATGCAGTCAATACAATCTATCGTGCGCGCATGTCAACCAACTTAACTGATTACAATGAAAGTACCTTAGAGAGAATTACCCCCGGATTTGGATCCAACCAACTAGTGCGATAGGTTTACAGGAATGCGTTCTCTATGCCCCCCTTCACCCGCCACTGGTTAATTAAACATATGTTTCTTTATATGTTATTTTTCTGTATTTTGTTTTACATATGGTTAATTTGAGTTTTACGTAAAAGGGATGCAGCGTGGTGAATTAGTTGATTACAGCACGTACAATTTTAATAAATTAAGTTTTTTTTCGCTAAATATACTTACATAGAAATCTGAATACCGTAGAATGAATGCACCAAAACAGCTATCTTTTCATTGATAATACTTTTGACAAACATCTTATGCAGTTTTACTAGTCCACCTACCTGATTTGGGATATGCTAAAACCACGCAGTCATCCTCAAACATGTCGAACGTTTTCAGCATTTCTATACTATCTCTAGGCGAGTATCCACCCAGGAGTACCCCATCCAGGTAGTGTTAGCCAGGAATTGTAAAGCTTTTCACGTCAAAATCGGACATTTTCTCAACCAAACCCCCGCCGTTTAGATAGCGGTTGATATCGAACAATGATGCTAGCTGGTGTTGGTATAAAATAATATTAAAAATAATTTGTACTGTTCAGCGAACCGTTATCAATAGGTTGACCTGATTTTTTTAAAAAAAGACGACACAACAACAGACTGACACGTGTATCATCTTTGAGTGCTTCTCTCGCATTTGCTCAGGTAGCTGGTGCGCAGACACGTGTGTTTTGAAAACTCGTGGTCGCGGGACTTCGCCCAACTCTCGTATTCTTGCGTTATCAACTTTGCTGTGTTCCAACCATGGTGTACGCAGGAGGCTGTCCGTCTCTTTGTTTTCACCGTAGCTGTCATGGTGTAATATAAGGTAAACTATTTCGAAGGTCCATGTTTACATATTAGTATTGAGGAGATTTAATGAAATAGGAAGGGTTCGTGAGACCGACGCCAACAGGTGTCCTTAAAAATAATCTCTTCGAGGGAATGGTTAGCTGACGAAAGATTCATAAAACTGACACGAATACATTCAGGTGTACTTGAAAACGAAATTTTATAAATTGATTAAGAAAGTCGAACATAAACGGGTGGGTTGTTTCTGTCTTGTGAAGGGATATTCGTCAGTTTAGAAGTACCAGTAAACTAAGGTACATATTACGTACTTAATCATATGTTTAGGGGTGTGGGAAGCAAAATATAGAAAAGGATATATGACCATTCAGCACTCATCCCGTACTTACATTGCATGTGTCGTTTGTTTTGTTGTTGTTTTTTTTTTTTTGTTTGTTTGTTTGTTTTTGTTTTTTTTTTTTTTTTTCGCTTTTTTAATACCCCTGCAACGTATTTTTGTATAAATGGTTTAGTCTTCTTTGTTAACTAGGCAAAAGACATTGCACTTACTGTTAACGTCCCGCAATATATAAAATTATATAATATATGCACTTATGGTAGATATACGTGTGCTATTACTTGCAAAAATGGATTAGAGTCAGATATAAATTACGTATTAACAGCAGAATAACAGTGACAATGTCAATTTTGCGGAATGCAATATCCTTTGTTTTTCAAACCATCTTCTATTTTAATCTGGTTTATCTGTGAAAATGTCGTAATGTTAGTCTGGAATTGCTTAGTTTGTACTTATTAGCCAGTACCTGACTTGTTTATCAATCGACAATGAATATAAAACCCCAGGCGTTCGACCAACCAGCGTCTTTAGTTTGAAACAGCAAAGAGACACTGTAGAACCGAACGCCACCATGACTGTAGCGCTGACAATTCTACTGAGTCTTGGGCTTAGAACCATCTCTGTGTATGGACGTAAGTGCGTTAGCTGGCATGTAGATTCGAAGTAACTCAGAGGTTAATGAATGTTACAAAAATGTGTATATTTAAAAGAATGAAAACTCTCTTAAATATGCATTGCTTTCGGCTTTTGAAACATTTGATGGTGGGTCTCGAACTGGAAAATAGTTTTTGGGCTCTTTGCATGAGACCGTTAGGTGATCTTACAGACAGCTCCTTGAGAATTCTAGGACGTGTTTTCTGATACATGTATGTCAACGGACTACCCTTTTGATTTGCACAGGAATCCCCCCCTCCCCCGTCGCTTAGGCGTAGCTCTTGTCGCACCCCTTAACGCACATCGGACAATAGGCCTCCAGGCATTTCGATTTCATACCATGTACTTCCTTGATATGTCTTACAATGTATAACATACCCAGTTTTTTACACTTTTACAATTACACTTTGTTAATTTTCCAGAGGATTGTCGGCTCATAAAACATGCTGGGGTAGTTTTAAATGGCGATTCATATGATCTTTATATGAATGGGAATGAGCGCAAGTGCAGGATGGAATGCGAAAAGGACGCCAGATGCCGCGCCATGACCTACCATGCAATTTGGACGGCATGCTGGCTAAAATCTGATGTGAAGGACATAGGTCACAGTCACATGGGCAGCTTTGTCTCTTATCAGAGGCCAAAAGACTGTAAAGGTAAGGCTTCTCAGAACTAATCGGTAGAAAATTATTTCTTTAAATAGGAATAAGACCTTTAAAGTAAGGTTGTTGTTTTTTAATTTTGGTTAAAGAAAACATAATAAACGTGTTTGCGCTTGTCTTTCGTTTAAACCTCTTGGTGTTATGTAAAGCAGTTGAGTGATTTTCTGAAAATTCTTTGGGATTTTTTGGTTAAAATATTAGATTGATGCAAGGTCATGGGATTACAACTGTCGAATTAGGAAAACATCATTGTATAATGGAAAGAGGTGAGTTAGCCCAATGATGACACTCTCCGATGAGATACTTAAAGGTACATACGAACCGAGCATCGTTGGAGCGTGGATTCCCAGTAACACATGTAAACCACTTCTACTATATTCTTATATGACTCAAATAAATTCGACATGCCAAGGGATAAACTGAATAGATCACTCGATCAGCCATAAAAGACCTTTATACTGCTCCTTTCTTTAAATTTTTGGTTGTAAATTTAACCTAATTCCGTGACCTACTTTCCTGCCCCATTGACATACAGCTTAGAATGCCAGCAGAAAAATCTGTTCAAACATCATTTTCGGGTAAAATTAAACAATGCCTTTTGGTAATTCTCTTAGTTATACTACTTGAAACTATATGGTGGCTTTTGGTTGGTTTTTGTGACAAAAAAATTGACTTTGTATGCATCTTTAAGTTGCAATCCAAAACCCAGAGTAAGATTGTTGCCATATTAGAGCGCTGAAGTTAGTGTCTAGTTTCTAGTTTCCAGTTTCGTTTTTCAAAAACGAACCTGGCAACCAGAAACTAGTGTCGTTTTTCAAAAACGAACCTGGCAACCAGAAACTAGTGTCGTTTTTCAAAAACGAACCTGGCAACCAGAAACTAGTTTCGTTTTTCAAAAACGATTCTTGCAACCAGAAACTAGTGTTGTTTTTCAAAAACGATTCTAGCAACCAGAAACTAGTGTCGTTTTTCAAAAACGATTCTGGCATCCAGAAACTAGTGTCGTTTTTCGAAAAACGATTCTGGCATCCAGAAACTAGTGTCGTTTTTCGAAAACGATTCTGAGAAGCCAGAATCGTTTTTGCGGAGAGAAACAGGGGTGGGCAGAGGGAGAGGCAAGTTTAAGTGGGGGTGGGAGAATAAGGGTGAGGTTGAAGAGGAGGAAGGGTCCCCGGGGCTTCCCTTTGTAGTCTGAAGTGTAATTTTTAATTTTATTGAATTTTTCAAAAACGATTATGATGTCCAGAGACCAGTGTCATTTTTTGAAAAACGATTCTGGCAAACAGAAACCAGTGTCGTTTTTTGAAAAACGATTCTGGCAACCAGAAACTAGTGTCGTTTTTCAAAAACGATTCTGAGAAGCCAGAATCGTTTTTGCGGAGAGAAACAGGGGTAGGCAGAGGGAGAGGCAACCAGCGGTGTGCGTGTAACGCGATTAGGTAACCCTCACCGCGAAAGCCGGGCAGGGTTTTACGGTATCTCCTCGACGTGCGCTGAGACCGAGCCAGTCGCCGATTATTGCCTACGGGGTACGGGCAACTCTCATGGCAGAAGCTTGACAGGGTGTTTACAGTGTTACGGTTTTTCCTCGCCGCGCTGGGAGGCCGAGTTGACCGCCGCTACCAGTCACGGGCAGCCTGCACAGTGGAAGCCGGGAATGGAGTTTAAGTGGGGGTGGGGGTGGGGGTGGGGGAATAAGGGTGAGGATCGTATAACTTCGTATAATGTATGCTATACGAAGTTATGCACAT